GCTATCTCTATATATATATATATATATATATATATATATATATATATATATATATATATATATATATATATATATATATATCATTTTATTCACATACACAAATTGTTTTTAAATGGCCTTGCATACTCTTATTATACTCAGTGCCTGCACTGTTGGTATATGTAATAATTATTTGTAAAAATGATTATATATACAATTAGACTTAAATGAGCATGCACAGTATAAAAGGGGGTGGTCTGCCCAAAAATGGAAGCAAATAGTGATGGGCGATATGGCCAATTTTCTTAATTTTTGATAACGATCGATAATGGACTTTTTGAGGAAATATCAATTATTAACGATACGATAACCACACCTTCATTTAGGGGTGTGTCAAGGGTGTGGCTAATGATTTTGGCACTGTACTGGACATGAGAGAAGATCATTTCCTAATCATTTCCATGCTCTTGAGCCTTGTTTCTCTTCTTATTGGGATAGGCTGAGCTAACAACTGGTCAGTTGCCTCTTTTTTGCAGTTCAACAGTGCAATTACTTATTAAAATTAGTTATTTAACCTTAATAAATGGGCGTGGTCAATAGATCGATGAAAATTGCATAAAATTTTCGATAATGATTCAAATCAATTCCGTAAAATATCGTTTATATCGATAAAGAATCGAATCAATCGATATATCGCCCATCACTTGAAGCAAACATTCAAAATGGCAATTACACATGATAAAGATCTTGACAACATCAGTTGATTTACATAGTAACAGTAAAAGGAAGAGGCTACAATTGCCTAGCCTCTTATTTCCACATGTTTCTTGTTCTTATCTTCTGACTAAATCACTAGTGCTGGGCGATATTGAAAATTTTGAAACAATATGATATGATACGATATTGCCTAAAAATGAAGATATCGATATTTTTTATCGATAAGTTATTAAGCCACACCCATTAACTTTAATATTACTAAAACGGCTAAATAAAGCTATTTCTGAGAACAATTATTATTGAAAAGCATTATAAAAACCTTCTTTGGCTTCATATAGTTCAGCTACTTCATCTACTTTCCAAGAAAATACATTTTAGTAATTTTCGAGATGTTACTCCTATACATGTGTAGTTAATTAACCATATATTAAAGTTATGTAACCATTTTGTGGGCGTGGTCTCGTTATCGATATTTCCTTCAAATTTTTTCGATATTGATACGTATCGATACTGCATTATATTGATTAAATATCATCAGTTTTGATATATCGCCCAGCACTATAAATCACGGTTAAGTTGTTTATAGCGAGTACTCGAGTCATAGTGAAACAGGCCGAGCTTCAGGACAATCAAGGACTTATTCAGGATGACTTTTAACATCGAGTTTGAGTCTGCTGAAGAGAAAGGTGCCTTTAGTCATCATTTAGAAGATTTTCAATCCTTGCTATCTAAGAACAAGCTAGATACGGTAGCTTTGGTCTGTTGACAGCCATGTTTAATTTTATAGTTTTAGTTAAAGCTACATGATGCATGGCTCTTTTGAGTCTTCTGCTGGTATAGGGAATTAGTAAAACTGTCTGTACTCTTCTAAGAGTCTTTTTTAGATCTTGTGGATGCCTGTAGTGCTTGCATTCTGTGATTCTTCAGTCTTCACTGCCCATTTTTAATTACATTCTAAAGCCACCCGCCATTTTTAATTGACTGGGCAGCCCACCCCCCTTTTATACCCGTGCTCATGCTCGGTGCTGTAGCAATCATCACGTAAGGTGAAGCAGTGGTTATATTCTGCACATGCTCGTTTAAAATTAATTTTAGCAATTTTAAAGAGGGACCATAAACAAACTGTACAAAGTGAAATATTTCGACTACCATGCCTACTGTAGATGTGGGATTGCAATTTGCTTCGTGGGTTAATACCGTATACATTCAAATTTTCCAAGTGTTTAAAATTTTGTGTTTTTTATGAAATGTGCTCAAAAATTAATATTCATGTGAGCTAATTTTCATGTTCTGGCCATAGTCTACATATAATAGAATGACACTAGAGGTGGTTTAAATTTTGTGGATTTAAGGTGAGCACAAAAGTAATGAAATTTAGTACACCTCGAAAATTAAGACGTGTACGGTAGACCTTTTTTATGAGGCAATGAATATTATTAACACACTTTTTGGACTCGCCACTCTTGTGTATTTGGGTACTAAGCATTTGGGTTGTCATTCTGTCCACTGACGAAGTTCAATTGATTTTTTTAAATATAATCTTTTTGACTAAGCATTTCAGAGGTAGTGATGCTCTTATAACATCTAGTGGCATCAAAAGATGATGTGAACTTTTAAACCAGGAGACCTCTCTCCAAGTAAGAGCTTGCTGTGCAAGGAAAGAATGTGTTGCAAGTAACAGTAACTTAGGAAAGTTTGAAGTTTGCCTTACTCCTCCTGTACATTCTTGCCTTAGGCTTACCAAAACAGTGCATAATATATAGTGCACTGGAATTAAAGGTTATATGATTGTCTAAGGTTCACTTCATGATTCATGATGATTGCCAGAGCCATTGAACTCATATCTTCAAAATCATTTCTGAAAGATTAAGTCATTTCTTTACATGTACTTATTTGTTGCCTAAAAATGTGTCACGTTCCTTTATCATCACTTAGAAATACAACTAACATTTGCTTGACTTTTATAATTTCACTGTAGCTATTGCATCAGCAAAGATGAGTTTCATGGTTACTTTATTGCATCTATAAATTTCTCTAGCTGTTGAAAAAGTCTTTGAATGCCATTTCTGTCTTATTTTAGTGCTAGAAAACTCGTGACTTCTTCTTGTGTGTTGAAGCCATTTTATTTTTCTGTGGCTAAATATAGATACCATATTGATAATACATATGTGTACAAAGCACAAGCATACAGACACTTGCTGCTAGTGTAAGGCTCGCTCAGGCTCGCCCTAATCAACCCTTTGGCAAACATTTTTTTAATGTAATGTACATTGTATGTGTACATGTATGTTGTGAATTTTCCTATCTTGTTTATGTAGGCATGAGTATGCAAGGAGAAGAGACTATTTGTGGTAAGTGGCATACAATATTGACATTGACACACTGCACAACATGTATATAATGTATTTATTGTGTGATGCCCTTACATATGAGAATTTCTGTATGTATGTATGTATGTATGTTTGAAGGTGTGACTGGGGGTGTGGTCAGGAGGCGGAGCTGGCCCCTCAATGTTTTAAATTCTTTCTAGTTAAATTGTAATTTTATTTTTAATTACTCTTTTAATAGATGACCCTAATCCTCCTTCAGTCTTTACTGGAAGTCAAGCAGGCTCTTGTGAACAAAATGGTATGACTAATAACATACATGTATTTAAAGATGAAATTGAAACATAGTGTTGTTTTATTAACAGTTGTATTATGTACCTGGTATGTACACTACACACATACATTATACTATGTTCCTTATAGCTCTTTGTTGTTGGTAGTTGGAAACTTGGAATCATAATAATTATTAGAGCTACTCCACCCATTGTGTCAATTCTGTAGAATGCAACATAAAATTAACCTTGGGCTGGTCTTGTATAAGTTTTGTTCTCTAGAACTGATGGGTCAAGTTACACATACATTGTATGTACATGTACTTTGTATATTAACTGTGAACCTAGCTTTAAAGGTTTTTAATATACTTTAATAATGAAACAATTCTTGTTTTAGGTGACAAAAATACTACAACATTTAGATATGTTCTTAAGGAGATTGGATTTGAAAACATCTCAGCAAATATAGATGTTCTTATAGTTGGAACTTCTGGATCCGGTAAATCAGCACTAGTCAATAGTTTTCTTGAGGAGAAGAAAGCTAAAGAAAGTTACAAAGGGAAGAGCTGCACAACAATGAGATTTCCGTTCCGTGTTGGTGAGCTCAATGTTACTCTGATCGATACTTTTGGTCTCCAAGATTGCGATAGCAAAAAGCCAACAACTATACAAGAAATGAAAAATGATGGTCAGACAGTCAGCTTAGTCCTCTACTGCATGAAAATGGGGGGTTATTTTAAAGACGACGACAAAATGGCTATGCGTAAGCTCCATCAAGCCTTTGGCCACAATTTTTTCAAGAGAATAGTATTCGTTCTCACTTTTGCTAATGCTGAAGATTGTTCTGTATATGATGATTCGGATGATGAGCTGGACGAAAATGAGGAAGACCCACTGGTAATTTTAAAGAAACGGTTTAAATGTAGAATCAAAGACAGGGCAGAAGAAATCTCTAAGTTTTTGTCGGAAAATTTTCATATTCAAATAAAGGAAGATCATGTTGTACCAGCTGGGTTTCGGATAAGGAGTATTCATCATCAACAGCATCCTCTACCTAATGATTGGCTATATATACTTCTCAAATTCTGCTGCTGTGAAATTAAGGAGAAGCATCAATTTTCAAGACTTTCTTTGAACGACTGTGAGTATAAGTATAACAATAGTAACATGTGGTATAATAAGTATTATTCTAGGACCATGCTTCACTACTTTTACTTGTATGTTTATTTATTGTATTAATTATAGGTAAGATTGTACAGACAAAGGCAACTCCTAGTAATCAGAAACAAGAATCAGTGGACTTAAGAATGGGTAAAAATTAAGTAATATTTAGTTCTGAGTATTATATTGTCAATATTGAACATCCATTCACTTTGATGAATGTTTAGTATATTACGTGTAGCTTTTAAATTTTTGTTTTATGTGTCATTTGTCTTATTTAGTTGGTAATCACATAATTATTCCTTGTGCTGCCTGTACCCTTTTATGTACATGTACCTTTTTTATGACACTTCGATTTGTATGCTACAATTAATAGCTTTATTAATTACTGGAGATGTTGATATTTCAGATTATGGCAATTATTTGAATAAATTTTATCACAGAGCTAGCCACAACTGCTTCTAAATTAAATTATAATTAAGATAAAAAATTGTTAGAATTTAAAAATAGACATAGTGCATGTGATCTCAGTATCATAGGCTGTTTTGTAAATAATCTGCATTATAGAACCATTTATAATTAATGTTTAAATAATGATAGAGTCGATATCATAACATTGCCAATACTGTGAGAAAAAATTGTCAGGTTTTTTATTGTCATAATTTTCCTCGTGCTTTGAAAATTTGTCATGCTTAGAATACATGTACAATGTATATTATGACTCATGTATGCATGTACACCATCATCAACTGTTTTGTTAGGTGTTATGATTAATTTTAAATAGCTTTGCTAACCAGTGTTTGTTCTGTCTATAAATTTAATTACTTTCATAATTTATGTACTAATTTTAAGTTTGAAAGCTTAGGCTACTCCAATTAGATTCAATTTACAATGTACCCATTAGATGTACATGCATCATGTTGTTACTACATTTTCTTACTTCATTTATGTAGGTATGAGTGTCGAAGAAGAGGAGAATGTTTCTGGTAAGTAAAGTGACATACAATATTGATGCACTGCACAGAAATTTTGAGCTAATTCCAATTAAAAATTGGATTTTTTATGAGTTTTTAAAGTTGCTCAAAAATTTGGGCAAAGTCCTACAGTACACAATGTATGAATAATTGACCAAATTTTGCCAAAATTGAAAAAAAGAGAATTCTTCATTATATGATTTTAAAAGTTACTCAAAAATCAGGTCAAGGTCTTTTTAGCAAGTAATTATACACGCACTTATGTTTTGTAGAAAGTTTGAGCTGATTCCGACCAAAATTGGACTTTTATGAATTTTTAAAGCTGCTCAAAAATTGGGCTAAAGTCCCTTTACCCAATATTTTAGCCAAATTTTTGTCAAAAATTTCAAGAATAGATTTCCGAACTTTTATAATTTTTTCTGAAGCCTGTATTTGTATATGAACATGTACATGTACTTATGCTGTGTAGAAATTTGAAGTGAATTCCAATCAAATTTTGATTTTTATGAATCTTTAATGTTGCTCAAAAGTTAGGCCAAAGTCACCTGTATACAAAATTTATCAAAAAATAGATAGATCACATTTTTTTCATTTTAATAATGTGTTTATGTTATGTAGAAAGTTTGAGCTGATTTTGACAAAAATTAATTTTTTATAAATTTTTAAAGTTGCTCAAGGGCCAAAGTCCCATACAGAGACTTTGTCAAAAAAATGGCTAAGTGAGATTTTTTCATTTTTTGATGCATATGCATGTACATTGTACTTATGTTGTGTAGCAAGTTCCAATCAAAATTGGATTTTATGAAGAATTTTTCAAGTTATTCCAAAAGCCATGTACTATTTTGGTGCTGAAGCTTGCTATTTGGCTTATACATATACTTAGCATGCTTTTTTGGAAACTCAGGTTGTGCCATTATTTCTTAAGTATTCATTTTATTCAAAATTATTGTACTAATTGTAGCCTAATTTTTGTTCTCGGAATGTTACTTATGCAAGTTTGTACCAAGCTATGGTTTTGGTTGATAAAATGGCTGTGAGTGACCAAATGATTATACCATCTACATATTTGTAGCTCAAAACTTTTAAGCATGAGTAAATTTTGTGATTTAGTCAAATATTTTAATCCCAAAGCCCACTGCTAAAACCATAATGAAATGACTATGACTCAAATTAAACATTATAGCAACAGTATTATTGACTGTTTTGATGTGTATTATAATTTATATGTTATTTTAGTGATAATGATTGGGTTAGGAGCAGTGAAAGATAATGTCATTGATGTTGGAAAGATGTCATATAAAGGTACACGTAAGATACTTTCCACACAAGTACCAGCCTCTAGATCACAATTCTATTTATATACATGTATATGGTTCTGCCTAAGAAATAAGAGGTAATCGAAGACTACAATTGTCAAGTCCTTTTCAATTTATATACACACTGGAATATTATGCTTTATGTATTGTTATTATAATTGCATAGTTGGACTCGCCACGCTTGCGTAGGCGGGTACTAAGCAGTTGGGTTGTCATTCTGTCCACACAGTTTAATTGATTTGTAAAAAAATATATGTTTTTGTCTAAGCAGTCTAGAGCTATATTTCTTCTTCTAGCAACATATAAAGTAGTTATGCTCTTGTAGCATCCCATGGCACCAAAAGATGTGAACTGCTAAACCAGGGGAGTGAGGGAACCTCTCTCCAAGTGAGAGCTCATATTTCACTCTACAGAGCCGAGATTTGCTTCAGAGGTAGAAAATCCCATCTAACAAAAAACTAAAAAAAATGATTTTGTCCCAAATTCGTTGTTTGTGAGTTACAGTTGCTCAAAGTTTGTGATTTAGCCTCTTTGAAAATTTTTCAGACATCACTAGGGAAATCAGGAGCAACCAAACTCACTCAGTGTCTTTTAAATGTCTAGGAAAATTTTTTGTGCCAACTCTTTCTTTGAATAGAGCTTCAGATGCTAAAATAAATTTCAGCTTTTCTTCTTTCTCTTGTTAAGATTTAATTAATCGATCTTGATAACTAAGCAACACTTAACCAATAATAATGAGGAGAATAATAATAATAGGAAAGAACAATAAGGGAGAGAGAAATGTGCGTGCTTATATATACTAGCAAGATGTCCAGAATGTTCTAGAAGAAGGATACAGACACAAGATCAAGAGACTAAGAGAATAATCTAGAAAGTTCCTGTTTACACAAACAATGAATACACAATAAATAATACACATGTACATACAGTAATAACATGTAGATCTAATCTGTCAAAAGTGGTTAAATAATATCCTCAACATCTCTTACCCATGTGCCACGATTTAGCTAGTTCTTGACCACACCCATAGCTTATTTTAATTATCATTATAACTCTGCAGTCAATAATAATATTTTTTTTTTAATTGCTTAAAATATCACAGTACAAGTAACACATATCACTCAGGTGAATTCCAGCGGGCGAGTCCATTGCACCATAGTGCTTCATTGGTCTATGTGATGAACCTGTTGTTCACTTGTTGAGGTGGTTGCTCCTGACCACCTCCATCATAGGCAGAACATTGTATAAATATGATACCTACGTAATACATTTATACATGTATGAATTTTACTAACCATGGCCCTGTTGTTTATAGCAAGTTGTACATGTACTAACATGGAGAGTGGCATGAATCTAAAGTATTTTTTATAGGTCAAAGAGCCATGAATACCTTAAAACAAGTCCTTACAGATGCTAAAGTAGGATATTCAAAGGATATTCAAATTGTTGTTCTTGGAAAAACTGGTGCTGGTAAATCAGCACTTATCAACAGCATCATTGACTTGGAAAAAGAAATTGCAGAAGAAAGTGCTCATGTAGAACAATGCACAGACACTGTCCGACTCTACCGATGCTCTAATATCATTCCTGGAGTTAATGTTACAGTTGTTGATACACCTGGTCTACAGGATATTCATCAACAGGAGCAGTGGTACATACAAGAAATGAAGAGCAAATGTCAAGAAGTCACGCTGATACTCTATTGTATGAAAATGACTGATCGCCGACTGACCAACGATGATAAAGTTGCTATGCTGAAGTTTCATCAAGCATTTGGTCCAAAGTTTTGGGAGAGAGTTGTGTTTGTCCTCACGTTTGCTAATCAAGAGAATTGCAGTAAGAAAGATAAAAGAGATGAACCAGAGCCAGAGCCTGAACCACCTTTTGAAGATGAGGAAGCTTGGGCCCTAATAATGAGAAAACGATTCACAAATAGAATCAACCATCGATCTAAAGCAATGAATTCCTTTTTAAAGGATACTTTTTGTATTGATGATGTCCCATTTTCAGTTGCCGGAACTTATAAATCCAGTTTCCACAACTGTAAACCTATGGTTCTACCAGATAGGGAAAATTGGTTGGTTGATCTTCTCTCACTTTGTTGTCATGAGATTAAAGAGGAGCACAAGTTTACTAAATTGAGTTTGAATGACAGTAAGTAACAGTAGCACATGTAGTTTTTTATTTATAATAATGGGCACACAAATATATTTGCTATCTAAAAGATGGGCAGTCGTTTTAGCTAATGTACATGTATTATTGTAATAGCTGAAAACTTTTAAGTGACTTAACTTCACTATTTTGCAGTTTTATTGAGATTAAAAAGTCATGGAAGTCTAGATTATGATACAAGATAGCAGAATTGCTTTCCGTAAAAATGATTTTGGGTCGATCTGCAAAAGCTTAATCCCTTGAATGTTTCCTGCTATATATTTTATGGTAGTTATTTGCAAATGTATACATTATTTAATTTTACTTAGGTTAACCTTATTGTGTTTTCATTGTTTCTTTTAGAGATCCACTTTGCTATCATTATTGATAATTATGGGGAAGTCAGAGAGGACACTCAAGAAAATGGTCAGGTCATTGTTATAAAAGATGCGTTAGAAGGTCTTGGTTATTGCACCCTTTGCTTCAACAATCTCAATTTTGAGTCAATTTTTTTCCTTTTTGAAGCATTTCAACTTGTTGATCATTCTCAGTTGGCATCATTTGCATTATTATTTCTCAGTAAAGGAAATAAGAATCATGTTTATGATGCTAATGACACAGTTGTTACGTTTGAACAAACATTTGCCTTTTTTAATGACGCTGGTGCTTCTAAAATCCCCAAGCTTTTTCTTTTTCATTTTGCCTATGATGGTGAACCACCAAGTGATCGACTAGTGGTTCCTGATCCTCCTAATAATTCTATTACTTTGGCCGTGTCTATAAATCAATGTACAAAGGTTTCACCAGCTATTCACTCTATTGCTAATAATTTGCTACCTGTAGAATGTCATAGCAAGCCACTGAAAATATGCTTTGAAGAAATGAAGCACCAGATTGAGCAATTAGATACTGCAACTTGTATTTATAGGAATAGTCTTCAAGAGAGCTTTGTTATGCCAACTTATTGTGCAGTTAGTGCTCATCAGTAAGTCACTTATCTCTAAAAATTAATTATGATTTTCGTTTAATTTTAGGTTATTGGAAAGGAAGCATCGCTTATTTTATGTAATGTGGTATTCTGTTCGCTGCAAGACAATAGAAGTATTATTGGAGAATAAGGATGAAGTGATGAAAATAGTTCGATATGAAAGGATAAGCAAGATAGGGTCATCAGCAGCTGGTATAATAGGAGGAACTATGATTGGAGTTGGTTTACTCTTTGCTTTTCCTACTTATGGTCTTTCATTGAATGTTGCTGCTATTGGGGGTGTAGTTAGTGGCATTGGTGCTGGTACCAATCTGATTTCTTCTATTGCATCAAAAGTGGCTTCCAATAAACGTTTGAAGAACGCTCAGTTTTTTGTTACTTTTGATCGGCAGTTTAGTAACCAACTAAACACTGTAGTTGCGAAGTATGCAGAATCACTGGAAACGATTCAAGGAGGAACTTTTTATAGTGAAGTGAAAGCATTTACCAGTAGTTTACTAGTAGCAGTTACCATTTCTCTTGATGTTAGTGTCTTAATTCATAATTCTTATCAGTTACATAAAGCAGCTCAAGATGAGACTGGCCAGGCTGACAGCAACAGCACCATTCAAAAACTAATAGAGCAATTTGGAGACTCTTTGAAAGGTCAATAGTTTATATTATCATATTTCATTTCATTTCATTTTTATGTACATGTAGGTTTCTTTCATGTTTTTGATGTATCACAATACAGGAAGGATGGTGCTGTTATCAGTAAAGAAACATGTGGCTATAAAGTGGTCATACCAAGATTTACTTTACAAGAGAAACCTCCAGTAACAGTGTCCACTATACTCTCTGGCCCCTTTAATTTACCTGAAGGATCAGTATTAGTCAGTGCAGTTTATGATATCCTGATAGATAAAAGCCTTAAGGATCCTGTTAATATTGATATAGAGCACTGTGTTGATGTACTTGATGAATCAGTAACTGAAAAGATGTCCTTTGCTATTGCTACAGCAGGCCTTACCACAAAAGCTTTTGAAGTTGAGTATATTCCTGGTGGAACATTTACTAGGGGCTCTGCTTATGGATCAATTACTGTCAAAGAAAGCTGCCTACTCTGTGTGTTGGCTACTAAACCATTGTAAGTTTTAATGTCATACATTACTTGTTTATATATCATTGTTATATATAGACCTTGTTCTGAATTGAAGTACTCTATTAATTGTTCATATGCAAAGTTTTATCAAGACTTTTGGACCATGAAGGCTTCCTGTATTAAGAATCTTTCTGCTTATTCTAAGGTTTAACTATACAAGTTGATAGACAGTTTTTTACTCATTTTTTCTTTATAGTTCATTCAATCAGATTCAATTCAGAATTATGGTGCTATTGATATTCATACTTTTCATTTTGGAGCTAGTGCTGCACCCTGCATTAATGTACAAAACTTCAGGACTGTGGCATCTCATGATTGGGCTTTATTTCCTCATATTATTCCCAATGAGCCTGTTAGTATATTACTACTGTGTTCTTCAATGCTGAATTGTCATTGTAGATACTGAAAAGGTCACTAGATGGTATTGGGTTGATTCACAGTGGAGCCACACTGAAAGAAACAATTCCCTTCATTGAGTTTCATGTTACTAGAAATGAAGGAAGTAAGACAGAATGTGATTTAGAGCTTAAGTTAACTGGAACTGATTTGAATCACCTACCTATTAACTGTCGTGATTGAACTTTTTATTGCCTTGTACTTATTTATGATAATGACTAATTGCCTTATAATTATAAATGAGTAGTTTATTTTTGTTACCACACTGGAAAACTGTGTATTTGCTGTTTCTAACACAATGTATTGGTAGTTTAAATTTCTGATTAATTTTTTTTAATAATATGAAAATAATTTATACATGAAGTGAATGAAAATTTGTGAATGGCAAAAGTTCAATTTTTGCAAGTCTTATAATTGTCAGAATTAATTCTTTATGTGTCATTCATTTGACATTATAGTGTCTATGTTGTGGAAGATATACACTAAAACTACTTAAATGTAATTAGTGCAGTTGTAATGTATGTACATGTAGTTGCTTAATAATAATGTTAATGTTTTATTGGTTATCTTAATTAGTCTGACACTTACATGTTCTGTATCATGCAAGCACTATGCAGCACATTCTAGACTGTTCCATGCATGCACATTCACTATGATTCTAGAATATTCTTATGTTACACTATATATTGATTTGTGCAAGTCTGTCAGTTGGTTCTTTTGTGTATAATAAAGAATATAGTTGAGAAACTATCGTTAGCTATCGTATCAAAAGTACTCATCATATGTAAGCCACAATACCATTATTTTTAAACACAAGAATTGCCATATAATACACATGCCTACTTATTGTTTGTGCATTTTTGTGTATTACATGTATAGTGACCTTCAAATTCGCACATATCACAGTAATTGGTTTAACAGTCAACAAAGCAATCCTGTGAAATTAATTGAACTATTGGACATTGGAAACATAGAAATAAAATAGTAGTAACTTTCAATGTATTATGATGTCTGTAAAAGAAATTAATACCATCAAACATGGCAGATCAATATCTTATAATTGTTGGAATGTAATTGAATTTTGTATCTTTAATCAAATACATTAGTTATAGGAGGTTAGGGTATAGAACGATCTCCAACCCCTAAAAGAATTGAATTACAATAATACATCCTCTGTATAATAAGGTCCACAATTTGGTGGGCAAATGTTCTCATGAATAATGCTATCATATAACTTATTTAGAACCTAATATTTTAAAAGTTTATCACTGATAGTTATGGTATATTCATGTTGTTATTCACCTTATGTAATTTTTTTGCAATCGAAATTATGTATATTTTTATGCTGTGTAGAATTTTTGAGTGCTTTTAGCCAAAAATGGCTAGGAGAGATTTCTTCATTCTTATATTTTTTTGATTTCATATATGTACATACCAGTATGTTGCGTAAAAATTCTGAATGAGTCCAATCATGATTGAGTTTTTAAATTTGCTCAAAAATTGGGTCAATAACTATGGGCTAGTACATGGTCAGTGGCCAAATTTCATTAAAAATGACTTATTGAGAGTTTTCCAAATTTCCAATTTTTTATGCATATAGATGTACTTATGTTGTGATAGAGAAAGTTTGAAGTGTTTTCTGATCAAGTTTATATTTTATATTAATTTTTAAAGTTGCTCCAAAAATTTTTTCAAAAATTAAAAAGATGAAATCCCCATTTTTAAATATACCTGAACATGTACTTATGTTGCATACAAAGTTTGAGCTGATTCCGATCATATTTAGATTTTTTATAAATTTTTAAAGCTGCCCAAAAATTGGGTCAATAACAATGGGCTATTGTAGTACATGGCCGGCCAATGTCAAAAATTACACGAAGAGAATTCCCCATTTTTATTATTTTTACTGATTCATTATACATGTACATATGTTGTGTAGAAATTTTGAGCTCATTCTGATCATGTTTGAATTTTTATGAATTTTTAAAGTTTCTCAAAAACTGGGTCAAAGATCATGGGCTATAGTACATGGTCAATGGTGAAATTTCATCAAAAATGGCTTGGAGAGAATTCTCCATTTGTGTGATTTTTCTGATACATATACATGTACAAGTGTTGTGTAGAAATTTTGAGCTGCTTTCGATTGTAATTAATTTTTTAATGAATTTTTAAGGCCAGCTATAATTCATTCTTTTTTATTCTTCCATTCACAATTAGTTACTTTTTCATCAAAAGAAATTTGTTCCCCTCCTTTCATTTTATGTACTTGTATTCATCTTAATGTCTTTTGACCTCTTTCTATGTTCTCCTCAGTATGTTGCCACATGCTGTATTATCACTTACAAAACTTGTAACAATGACTTATGATGATAATATTGAAGGATTGTTAGGATTCTACTTTCAATTTGAGGAGAAAGGATAGAAATGCAAGAGAGAAGGAGAGCAAAGTGTGTTGTTACTGTACTGTTGGTATGGATGGCCTTAATCAGATTGTTTGATCCATCTCTAACAATCTCTACCCAATATTGGAGTTACAATAAGAAGAAAGAGTATGACATAGCCCTGAATTCTGTGACGATTCTTTTCTATGCAATTCTTC